TATGCAGAGGGGTTAGCATTGATACTACCTCCACTAAGTATAGGTCAAGTTCATCAAATTGTAGCAATTTACCCTTGTTTCCTTTATCAAAAAAAATTTTTTTTTTAATCTTTCTCTAGTTGAGTTCTGAGTATCAAGCCATTGAGGCTAGGTCAAATGGGTACTATCTACAAGACAAGTTTGGGTGTTCTTGTGCATCTCCCTTCAGCTGGATGCTTCACTCTCAGTTTTAGCCCACTGTGGCTATGTCCTTATCCATGGGCTCAGGTGTCCCAGTTCTCACCACACTTTGGACCAACCAGCCCTTCCTCTTATCTCTGTCTTCTCTAGGTCAATGGAAGTCTATGGAATATGGTTGAATTCAGCCCATTTCTTCATTGCTGCCTTTCCCCCTCTTTCACTCACCAGTAGACCAATGTGGTCACTAGCAAGTTTATATGCTTGCTCATGTGTTCCCTTTGAGTTTCAGTCTTAGAAGGGGATTTGTCTTGAAGAGACTTCATTGCTTGCCTTGATGGCTTCCTGGCAAACAACTTGCTTATTCTTGTAGTAGCCAATCATACTACCATTTTTGTTTTGAGATTTTCCTGATGATCTTTCTTTGAAGATGTGGCTTCTTTGCTCTAGCTGTTCCCTTCTGGTCTGCTTGTTCTTTCTAGTAGGAATGTCCCACCTCAGAAGGTTCTCGATGAGGCTCAGGAGTCTGCCTAAGGTCATATATACTACAAAGGCTCCACAAGAGGCCTATTTCACTGGGCAAGTTCTAGAACCCCTTTTAGATATTCCAATCAGTTATAGGCTGAAGATGGGATTACAAGCTTTCTGTAATCATGTTTCCCAACATTCCTTTCTATCCCTCTCAAGTGTCTATTTTACAATAGTAGGCAAGGGAAACCAATATTCATAGACATATTTTTTTAAAGAACCACAATAATATCTACCTGAAATATTAATAATTCCTTTAAATTATCTAATACTAATGTGACCACAATGGAGCCCTGTTGGTGCAGTGGCTAAATTCTCGGGTGTGAGCCAAAAGGTCGGTGGTTCAAACTCAACAGCCACTCCATGGGAGAAAGATGTAGCAGTAAGCCTCCATAGAGATTACAGCCTAGGAAGCCCTGTGGGACAGTTTTGCTTCCTCTTATGGAGTCGCTATGAGTCAGAACTGACTCAGTGGCAATGGGTTTGGTTTTTGAGCTTTTAAATTGGCCATCTGGGTAGAATTAACCAAAATTCCTTAGCATTATTTTACACATACGGTGACTATATGACAGGGGTTGGGGCAGAGCTAGTTTACACTTACTGCTGAGCATAATAATTGATTGTTGTTGTTGTTGTTAAAAGCTGTCACGTGAGTTTCTACTCATAGCGACCCTTTACAGGGTTTCTGAGGCTATGAATCTTTACCTAACCTTTCTCTCACCTTTCTCCTACTGGTAAACTTGAACCTCGTATCTTGTGGTTCATAGTCTAGTGCTTATCATCAGATGTCACCACTGAAGGGATTTAAAACATCTGCTGATGGATGTGTCTTCCGTCTCTTCTCTCCGTATGTTCACTCTGTGTCTGTATCTTTTCTTGCACCCATACTCAGACATCATATTCATCCCAGTTTTTCATCTCTAAAATGCCTCTATGTCCAGGGAACTCTGATGGGGCAGGGGTTAAAGAGCTTGGCTGCTGACTGAAAGGTCAGTGGTTCAGCTCCCCAGGAGAAACATGGCATCTGCTTCTGTAAAAGTTAGAGCCATAGGACCCTTGTAGGGCAGTCTGCGCTCTCTTGTAGAGTTATATCAGTTTCTGTCAACGCACAGAGAGAGTTTGGGTTTTGTTTTTATATCCAGAAGGCATCTGGGTTAATCACCCTGCTTGGGAATATTATAGGTTTGTTCTGAATTTATACATAGTTTTCCCCAAAGACTAGCTTTCTCTAATGACTTCTGCAAAATCTAGCAATCTTCTGATTTGCATTTTATAACTTAAAGGAGAATATGAGGATCTGTTTCAAAGGAGATTGATTCATTGACAGAGTCCTAACTAAGTAGAAAATTTGTTAAGAAAATATAAAGGGTTACATATAATAGGTCTCCATTTGTTCTCTATGAAAACCAGTTGTTGTCAAGCCAGGTCCAAATGATAGTAACCCATGTGTGTCTGAGTAGAACTGTGTGCTACTTAAGCATTTTAATTACTGATTTTTCAGAAGTAGATTGCCAGGAATTTTTCCCAAGGTACCTCTGAATGGACTCAAACCTCCAACTGTTACATTAGTGTCCAGACATGTTAACTGCATCACTGAGGAATATTGAAATCTATATAGTGTATAATAGAATCAGAAATAGATTAGGAACCAGAACTCTGCCGCTAATTAGCTAAATGACTTTGGATAAACGTTTTATGTACTTTAAGCTGCCCCTAAGCACTATCCTTCCTCCACCGCCCCCCAACCCCTTTCATTTCTCCCCTCATCCATCCATCCCTATGAGCAATTGTGACTATGTTGAAATTTTTGTATTTGATTTCCCTGAGAGTTCTTTAAAAAAACTCAGCTAGGGGACCTCTTGTATTTGCCTTTATATCTCCTAGTGCCTAAAAGATAGGTCTATAGAGGGACAACAACACTAGCAAGGGACACATACCATAGCATGGTCAATCATTTGAGCTCCAAAGGCCAGCATTTACCTAAGGACAAAGTTCAGAAGGGTAGAGAAATATGGAAGAGTGGAAACGAGAACCAGAGGGAGGAAGTGGGATAGCTGGTGTTACATGGAGGGGATTGCAGTCATTGCAGTGAAACAAAGCATGTTGTTTATTGCATTTAAAACTAATGGTTTGCTCTGTAAACCTTCATTCAATTCACAAAATGTTTAAAAGGAGTGTCTGACACATAAATAATTGTTTGAATGGATAAATGAATGAGTCCTAGTTTTTCACTTTTCTGAAGTTGCTCAGCTAACTTCTGATGGGACCAACCACCTAGACTGTGAAAAGTGGGAATGGATCAGAAAGCAGGCAATGAATTAAGGACTATGTAACTTCCCTTTCCCAGCTCTGTTTTTCTCTGTCCTTCTTTTTGCTTTCCTCACATGGTTCCTCCTCACATATTTACTAACTTATCTTTTCCTTTCTTTGTGTGCTGGTCCTCAGGGCTCCCTGGAATATTCCAAAGTTGGTTCCATCATGGCAGAACTTAAGGTGGAAACCCTGGCCAGTGTGGACTGGCAAAAACGCTGCCTGGCCTTGGAGACCCAGCTTTTCCGGTTTCGCCTACAGGCCAGCAAGATAAGGGAACTTCTGGCTGACAAGGTGAGTTCTAGAGAGCAAGTCGCTGCCTAGCCTCACTGCAGAGGGCTGTGGCTGAGAGGGAGAGTTGGGGAAGGTAAACTTTCAGTGAGTGACTTTTCCACACACATAAAATAAAGCCCCATATAGTATTTTTATCTAAAGGCCAAAATCAAAGCAGTTTACTAAACTGTCACCTTGCATTCTTTCCCCCTTTGCTCTTGGTGGCACATCAAAGTCAGGATATAAATCTTCTGGTCCTTTTGACACCTCTTGAGGAGGTTGAAGTTATAGGTGAGGTTCTGTATATTATTCCCTTTAGCATTTCTTCCTCAGTGTGGAGGAGTGGGCATGGTGGCACCATATGATAAGCAATGGCCTGCAAACCACAAGGTCGGTGGTTTTAGCTCCATGGAAAAAAGATGAGACTTTCTGCTCCCTCGAATATTTAAAGCCTTGGAGACCCTTTACTGGGTTACTATGAATCAGAACTGACTCGAAAGCACAATGAGGAGAAGGAGGAGGTTTTAAAAGAGAATGAAAATTCCACCCTTCTGCCCACTCTCTTTTAAGCAAGGACTTTGGAGCCAGGCCCACTAGCTCTGCCACTTCTTAGCTATGTGACCATGGGCAGGTTCCTTCATCTCTAAGTAGGGACCCAGAATGCCTACCTTTCAGAGTTATTTGGGGGATTATATGAGGTCACATATATAAAGACCCTGGCACAGAATGGGTTCTGAAATTGGAATGATTATTAATTACCTTTATAGATTTTTGTGGGCTGGTCTGGGAACTGAGCACAATTCCTAATGTTTCTATGGGAAGATACACTCCAAACTGCTGACATACAGAGGTATGTTAGATCATAGTCTATGTAGAGAATGGAGACCTGCACTTTATATATCTATGTTGTTGTTGTTGTTTAATGCCATCAAGTCAGTTCTGACTCATAGCGACCCTGTATAGGTGCTTCTCCTCCAGCACCACATCAGTACTATAGCTGTGTCTTGAATAAATCAGCCATTCTTTCTATCGTTTTGCTAAAGTATCTGTCAGCTTGTTGTTATTGTTGTTAAGTGCCGTCGAGTCGATTCCGAGCCACAGCGACCCTGTATAGGGTTTCCGAGGAGCAGCTGGTGAGCTTGAACCGCCAACCTTGCAGTTCAAATGGCTTTGCAGTCTGGTGCATTAACCCACAGCACCACACCAGGACTCCTTAGCTTACCTTTTTTTATAGTACAGAGGTAATTAGCCCACTTTCTACAAATAATGGCAGAGTCTTGATGAGTAAACCTGAGTATATGATGTACTGTACTGATAGCTCTACAACCCCGTCTCCCAGGAAGATTGTCAGAAGCATCACCTCTATGTTTCCATAGTTGAAGGGAGTGGCCCTGCCTTAGTCTGGACTAGAACTCGTGAACTTTGTGCTGTCTCCTAGTTCAGACTGTGCAAAACAGAGACCTTTGAGGTTCACATAGATACCTACAAGTAAGAGGAAAGGGAGAATTCAGCCTGGATCCACCCGGAGTGCTTGTTAAACATGCGTATTCCTGATCCCCACACCAGTTCTTTTGATCTCTAAGGGTGCTGCTAATAATCTGCATCTTTAACAAGCTCCCAGAAGATTGTTTTGTACGCTGTAAAATTTGAGAGACTTGCCTTAGGATACGGGATTGGAGGAGGGGTTCAAGGTAAGGAAAGAACACGTGAGGATCAACTCAGCTAATTGGTCTAAAATATACTTCAGGGACACCCTGTAAGCCTGGAACTGAACTCAATCCAATAACTCAACTTTCAGCCAAGTGATAAGTCAGTAAAATGAAGAATAACACCAAGGAGGTTTACACTCATTAAAACAATCAACCACCCATAAGGGATCAAAAGGGCAGCATCTGCTAGCCAAAGGGATACATCTCAGGAGGCAGGGAGTGACAGGAAAGGAGTATGAAAGGAAATGGTACATACTGCAGGAAGTGGGAAGACTTCTGTTACTTTGTGGGAATTGTAATCAATGTCACAAAATAAAATGTGAATTGTTGAATAGAAAATCAATTTGCTATAAACTTTTTCCAAAGTCTCATCAAAAAAAAAAGAGAGAACATATGCAAAGTTTTTGGCATATAGTAATTGCTTCATAAGATTAGATATCATGGGTGGTGGTGGTTATGTGCCATGGAGTTGGTTCCAACTCATAGTGACCCAGCATAGGGTTTCTGAGGCTGTAAATCTTTAAGGGAGCAGAAAGCTCCTTCAGAACCGCTGGTAGTTTCAAACTGCTGACCTTGTAGTTAGCAGCCAGACTCGTAACCACTACAAAAAATCCTAATAAAATGGTAGCTGTTAAAAAAATGATAAAACATACCTCAGGGGGGAAGAGACTTCTATTTCTAGTAATATGGAGAACAAAATAAACATAACTGCTTACATTCTGAAAATCTTAGAACTGCTGGATTGAATATTTAATGTATCCTTTTAAATGCAAAGCTGAGCACTGAAAATAGGAAGAGAATTCCTGGTTGGGGGAGGGGGGGACTAAGAGGAAAATTCAGAGTGGTACTCAATTCTGTCAACTGAGCAGGGTAGGGTGTAGTAGCTGGCCTCCCATTAGTAGCATAGGGTTTGCCATTTGAGTTTAACATCTGTGGAGACAGATGAGATCTGGCCAGTTGGAGGCTAGAGTTGAAACTGAAAATTGCATTTAAAGTCCAGATTATCAAAATCCAGTGTAGGCTTTACCTTAAATAAAAAGGTGGTGGTGTGCCATGGAGTCGGTTCTGACACATAGTGACCCTGAATAGGGCTTCCAAGGCTGTAAATCTTTACGGGAGCAGAGAGCTTCCTCTTTCTCCAGCAGAATGACTGGTAGTTTTGAATTGTTGACCTTGAGGTTGGCAGCCCAACTCATAACCACTACACTACCAGAGCTCTTTAAATAAAAAGGTAGACAAGGAAAAGAAAATCATCCACCACAGAGAGAGGACAAAAAACTTCCTCAGGCTTGGCCAAGGCTCTGGATGATTGGTGTTAGGTGCCTACAAGTATGTTCCGACTCATAATGACCTTATGTACAATAGAACAAAACACTGAGCATGTTATATTCCTTTTTGATTTTCTAACTCCAGGTATTTGCATATTTCATTATAATACTTTGTCTTCTTGAGCTGCCCTATGAAATTTCTGTCCAACCATTTACTTTCTCATTTAGCTTTTTCTATGCTCAACAGCAAGTTTCAGAGTCTTTTCTTACATTCATTTGGTCTTTTCTTCCTTTCCTGTCTTTTTGCTTTCTTACTGTATGATGCTCTTGATTTCATCCCACAAGTCTTCTTGGTCTTCAGTCATTAGTGTTTAATGCATTAAACCTGTTCCCGACATTTCTAAATTCAGGTGTGATATATTCATGGTCATATTTTGACTCTCATGGACTTATTTTCATTTTCTTCAGCTTCAATACTGAACTTGCATATGAGCAATTGATGATCAGTTCCACAGTTGGCCCCTGGCCTTGTTTGGTATGCTGATAATGAGCTTATCCAACGTCTCTTCTCACAGATATAGTCAGTTTGATTCCTGGTGAAGTCCACCTGTAGAGTTGCCTTTTATGTTTCTGAAAAGAAGATATTTGCAATGAATAAGTCATTGGTCTTACCAAATTTCATCATGTGATCTCTAGCATCATGTCTGTCACCAAGTAGTATTTGCCAACTACTAATCCTTACTCTTTGTTTCCAACTTTCTCTTTCCAATCACTAGTAATTATCAATGCATCTTGACTGTATGTTTGATCAATTTCAGATGGAAGAAGTTTGCAGAATTCTTCAGTTCATCATCACTGGTTTTAGTGGCTGGTGCATACATTTGCATAATGGTGGTATTTTAACTGATTTTCCATGTAGATGTTATCCTTGTACTCAAGCCAGATCATGAAATACTCTTTTTGACAATGACTGTGATGCCATTCCTCTTCAGTTTGTCATTCCTGGCTTAGTAAACCATATGATTGTCGGATTCAGAATGGCCAATACCAATCCATTCAGCCCACTATTGCCTAGGGTATCAAACTTTATGCATTCCAGTTCATTTTTGGTAACTTTCAATTTTCCTAGCTTCATACTTTGTACATTCTATGTTCCGATTATTAATGAATGTTTGCAGCTGTTTCTTTTCCATTTTTGAGTATGCCACATCAGCTTTGCTCCATTCATGTTTATTAAGATCAATGTTGCTTTGAGGAGGCAGCTGTTCCCCAGTCATATATGGAGTGCCTTCTAACCTGAGGACCTTATATTCAGGCAGTATATCTGATAGTTTCTGCTGCTATTCATAAGGTTTTCAGTGGTTAACCATTCATATGTGGTCTACCTCTCCTTTTTTCTAGTTTATCTGAGTCTGGAAGTTCTTCTGAAACCTGTTTATCATGGGTGACCCTGCTGGTATTTAAAATACCTGTGGCATAGCTTCCAGGATCACAGCAACATGCAAGCCACCACAGTATGACAAACTGACTGAGGAGTGGTGGAGGTTCTGGGTAGAAGGCACAAAATATAGGAAAAGAAAAATTTCCCCTGAAAACCTGCTGCTAATATTAGGTTAATGTTAGAATTTAGCTCTGGTAGCATAGTGGTTACGAGTCAGGCTGCCATCCTCAAGGTCAGCAGTTTGAAACTACCAGCGGCTCTGTGGGAGAAAGATGAAGCATTCTGCTCCCATAAAGATTTACAGCCTCGGAAACCCTGTGCAGGGCCACTATGTGTCGGAACTGACGCCACGGTACTTAACAACAACAATTGAATGAGTCCTGGTGTGGCACTGTGGGTTAATGCGCCAGACTGCAAAGCCATTTGAACTGCAAGGTCAGCGGTTCAAGCTCACTAGCTGCTCCCTGGAAACCCTATACAGGGTCACTATGGGTCGGAACTGACTCAATGGCACATAACAACAAACAACAATGTTGTAGGCCAGTAATACCCCTGGGAAACCTTACAGAAACAACCAAAAAACCTCTGGAGAAATACAACTTT